CCAACTCAAAAAAAAAAAAGCTGAGGAATGGGGTGAGAGAGCTTGGGTGCTGGGTCAGACAGATTTGGAGCTGAATCCTGGCTCTGCCACTCACTAGCTGTGACCTTAGACAAGTTCCTTAACCTCTTGGAGTCTCGGTTTCTTCCTCTGTAAAACAGGAATGATGATGATGATGATTTTTCTGAGTGGGAGTCTCACTCTGTTGCCCAGGCTGGAATGCAATGGCATGCTCCAGGCCACCGCAGCCTCGACCTGCTGGGCTCTGGCTATCCTTCTGCCTCAGCCTTCCCAGTAGCTGGAACTACAGGTGTACGTCACCATGCCTGGCTAAGCTTTTGATTAACTGTAAAGACGAGGTCTTGCCAAGTTGCCCAGGCTGGCCTTGAACCCCTGGGCTCAAGCTATCCTCTTGCCTCCGCCTCCCAGAGTGCTGGGATTCCTGCAGTTGCGAGCCTCTGTGCCTGGCAGGAATGATTACGAGTTACAGCTACCCTTCCTACAGTTGTCCTTGGGACTACATTGAATCTATCTGGTAGTGGTTCAGAAAATGGCAGGGCAGGAAACGGCAGGGGGGAAGTGACTGTGTCTGAGAAAGAGAGAAGAGGTGGGCTGGGATATTCCCTAAAGAAAGGTTTATTTTACTCCTGGTAACTTTCCATCTGGGGTAAGCTCAGCCCCCATAAAGCCTTCAAGACACATACACCCCGACATGCTGCAGCAGCCATATGCTGCCCATCCTCCGCCCCGCCCCCGCCCCCGCCCTGGGAGCTCACCTGGCTCTTGTGGATGGACATTGCCCAGGCCAGCTGGAGTGGCAGCTGCTGCCGGCTGAGGAGCTGGCCCCCGGCAGCCTGCACCGTCCAGCGGTCAGCGCGAATGACCTCAGTGACTCCACACAGGAACCGCACCTGGGGCAGCCCTGAGGAAGGCATGGAGAAGTCTGACCTCCCAGTCCTGCTTCCGGGCTCGGGGGAGGAACAGGGGCCTTTGGGACTTTTCTTCCTAGCCTGCAGCTCCTCTCACTTACCCTGGGCCCTGCTGAAACCCCAGCCACGGGACTGCCACCACCTCCATCACTCACCTCTCCCTTCAGCCTCGAACCCGACCACCATGCCGCGAGCGCCATTCACCAGGCCCCGAGACACGGCCAGGTTCTTTACCAGCATCACCTGCGAGGGAGAGAGAACTGGAGTGCAGAGAGGGAGGGAGGAGCCCGGAGAGAGGAACAGAGGGGTGCAGGGGGAGGGAGGGGCTGGCAGAGAGGGGTGCAGAGGACCGAGGAGTGGTGACAGAGGAAGAGGAGCAGAGGCAGGCGAGGAGAGGGAGGGACAGAGTGGAGGAGCCCAGGGAGGAAGCAGGGATGGAGGGCAGCCCTTCCCCCATCCGGCCGCAGCTCAGCACTTGCTCAGCACTTGCTTCGCACAGAGGCTGAGGGCGGGGCGGTGCCAGCAACACCAGTCCCAGCCCTCATCTCGGCCACCAGCTGGCGGCACCCCCGGAGCAGGCTGCCTTATCCTCCTGGGCCTCAGCTTCCCCTTGTGTGCCAGGAGAGCGGCATTTGCCCAGGCTGCCTCCGAAGGAGGTGCTGACGACCAGCGAGGCAGCCTACGCGGGGGTCAAAAGGGATGGGGTTTGTCAGGGGATGCTCACGTGGGCCACACACCTCGAGGTCCGGCTACTTTTCTTTCAGCAGCTCTGTGCCTGCACCTTCTCCTTAGGTGGTCTTTGGAACCCAAGGAAAGTCTCCTGTTCCACCCACCCCCAACAGTGTGGGAGGAATCAAGACCCTCTCCAGTTTGTATGGGATGGGCACTTCTCTCCCCATTTTAGAGGTAAGGGGGTAGAACTTCAGCCTGAGAAAGGGACTCGCCCAAAGCCACGCTGCTTGGAGGAGCTCCAGGTGTAGGAAGAGAAAGGCAGTGGGAAGTGGAAGACAGGCGGGGGGGACCCAGGAGGGCGGGAGGGAGGTTTCGGCGTGGTCAAAGCTGGGCCCACAGCCGCAGAATGGCCTGGGAGGAGAAGGCCGGATCAGGGAGGCCCACGCAGGACAGCCCAAGTTTCCAGGGTCCAGGCCCTGCCTCCCACTCACCTGGGCCCCCAGCTTCAGCTGAAGGAGCCGGCTGACGGGACACTGGGCATCCAGGGTTCGGGCCAGCTCAGGGTCACTGTCCAAAGCCTCAAAGCTGTGTACCTCACCTGTGCAAACAGATGACAAATCACTGACCTGCAGCTATTTGAGTCTGCATCTCACTCTGTTGCCCAGGCTGAAGTGCAGTGGCACGCTCATGGCCACCGCAGCCTCCACCCTCTGGGCTCAGGTGATCCTTCTGCCTCAGTCTTCCATGCAGCTGGAACCACAGTCACGTGCTACCACGCCCAGCTAGTTTTTTGATTTATTGTAGAGGGCGGTCTTGCCAAGTTGCCCAGGTTGGTATCGAACCCCTGGACTCAAGCAATCCTCTCACCTCGGCCTCCCAAAGTGCTGGGATTCAGATGTGAGCCACTGCACCTGGCGCAGCTCATTATTTAGATGAGGGCATGGGACCATGCAGGAGGGATGGCTCAGGTCTAGCTGGGGCTATGGAACCAGTCCACCACACCTCTGCAAATGTGAACGCCCTTTTGGACACAGAGGCTGGGAGCCTAGATACCCCAATGAACCTATGGGCCCAGGCTGCCTGGGGGCCACATGGGCTTGATGGCCCCTCCCAACTGGCCTTGCCCGGCCTAGGCTCCCAGCTCACCTGGCAGCTCCCGCAGCTGTCTCTTGTTGGTGAGGGCCACGTCATCCTGGTGGGTGCAGAGCCGTGTGGCCACGATCCCATCTCTTCCTACCTTGTGGGCGGCTGTGGCCCGGAGCTGGCGGGCTACCTCCTCTGAGCACCTGTGGGGACTTGGCTGTTAGGGCAGAGCCCACCTGAACAGCAGGGAAAGGGGGGAATGTGGCAGTATGGCCCAAGAAGCAGGCCTTGGGTCGGGCCTTGAGGAAGGAGGCAAGACTTGCTGGGCCCCAGGCTGGCCCACTGGTCCCTTTCCGGCATGGGGGACATGTGTGGTGTGGGGTGGTGCAGGGCTGTGGCCACAAGTGGGCACCCTTCCCTGTGCTGCCCCAGGTAGGAGCTGGCCCCCTCCCACTCCACAGTGCTCCCGAGGAAGTTGGCTATGATGAGTGTGGACCAGAGGCCTGCAGGACCTGGATGAGGGGCTGATGTTGATCCTATAATCCTGGCTGCTCTGCAATCAGGTCGGCCTCCAGGGTGCCGTCATCTAGCCCCTTGCCTGCCACCCTGGGTGAACGATCTAGCCTATGTTTCTCTTTTTTTTTTTTTTTTTGGAGTCAGAGTCTCACTCTGTGGCCCAGGTTGAAGTGCAATGGCACGCTCCCGGCCACCATAGCCTCAACCTTCTGGGCTCAGGCGATCCTTCTGCCTCAACCTTCCAAGTAGCTGGAACCACAGGCGTGTGTGACCACAGCTGGCTAATATTTTGATTTATTGTGGAGACAAGTTCTCACCAAGTTGCCCAGGCTGGTCTCAAAACTCTGGGCTCAGGCAATCCCCTCACCTCCGCCTCCCAAAGTGCTGGGATTACACTTAGGGTTAGGGTTAGACATGCCTGGCCCCCTTGTCTTTCAGGGTCTAGCTCTTGGTGTGTCTTCTGCCCTCCTGCCTGCTTTCTACTTCCATATGGCATACTAACCTTCTGTCCTAGCTGAGGAGAGATCATGTCTGCAACCTCCCCTTCCCCACCAAGAGGCCCCACAGGCTCTAAGAGTAGAAAGAACCTGGGTTTTAGAGTCAGACCTAGGTTCCAATTCAAGCTAAGCCACTTACTGGCCACTTTGGGTGAGTCACTTCACCCCTCTGACCCTCATTTTCTGCAACTATGAAATGGGGGTATTAACAACTCTGAAAACTTTGGAGGCCAGAAAGCCAGGGGTCAATATATTCAAAGTGTTAAAAAAAAAAAACTAGCAGGGTACAATGGTTCATGCCTATAATCCCAGCACTTTGGGAGGCCGAGGTGAGAGGATTGCCTGAACCCCTGGGTTCGAGAGCAGCCTGGGCAACTTGGTGAGACCTCATCTCTACAATAAGTCAAAAAATTAGCTGGGCATGGTAGTGTGTGCCTATAGTTCCAGCTGCTTGGAAGGCCAAGGTGGAAGGATTGCCTGAGTCCAACAGGTTGAGGCTGCGGTGGTTGGGAGCGTGCCACTGGCCTCCAGCCTGGGTGACAGAGTGAGACTCCTACTCAAAAAAAAAAAAAAAGAAAAAGAAAAAGAAAAGGAAAGAAAAAAAAAACCTAACTGGAAGCTGTATGAAGAAATAAAGATTTCAATTAAGGTAAACACATGGGCAATTACAAAAGCTAGTTTTTTGTTTGTTTTGTTTTTGAGTGGAAGTCTCACTATTGCCCAGGATGGAGTGCAGTGGCACCTCACAGCCACCACAAGTCTCTATCTGCTGGGCTCAGGTAATCCTTCCACCTCAGCCTTCCAAGTAGCTGGAACCACAGGCACGTGGCACCATGCCTGGCTAATTTTTCTGATTTATTGCAGAGACGAGGTCTTGCCAACTTGCCCAGATTGGTCTCAAACCCCTGGGCTCAGGCAATCCTCTCATCTCAGCCTCCCAAAGTGCTGGGATGACAGGCATAAGCCACCGTGCCCAGCTAGGGAACTTCTAATTTATGAGAATAATGTATTTTTGTGCCAGTCCCCATGCTGGGTGTCAGGGGCTCAGAGCAATGATCTCCTATGGGGTTATGCTCCTGATTACACTCAGTCCTGGATTGCCCAGTGTCCTGGCCAAGGCTCCTCTTTCTGTACAGACTGCTTGCTTCTGAGAACTAGCGTTTCCCTCACAATTTTTTTTCTTTTTTGAGTCAGAGTCTTACTCTGTCGCCCATGCTGGCATGCTCTCACCCACCAAGGCCTCTACTTGCCGGGCTCAGGTAGCTGGAATCACAGGTGTGAGCCACCATGCCCGGCTAATTTTTTTGACTTATCGTAGAGACGAGGTCTCGCCAAGTTGCCCAGGCTGGTCTTGAACCCCCGGACTCAGGCAGTCCTCTCGGCTCTGCCTCCCAAAGTGCTGGGATGATGGGCATGAGCCGCTGCGCCCGGCTTCCCTGCTCTTTGATTCCCCGTGTTCCACTGTGACCCCTATTTGGACCCTCCTCCCGCAGCCCCTTCTCTCTGCCAGGGCCCACCTGCCCAGCCTCACAGCCTGCAGCAGAGAGATGAAGCTCGGGTCCGCCTGCCTCCACGCCTCGGTTAGCTCCAGGATCACTGGCACACACTTTTTCCAGCTCTTGGCCTAGTGGGGAAAGGCTGGGGGTGGGTCAGGAGGCAGAGCAGATGCCCATGGGGGGCAGGGCTAGGGGTGAGTGGTACCTGGAAACAGAACTGCGGGGGCTGGGAACCCTTTGTCACAGGCGGCAGCTGTAGGAAATCCCCAGAGATGATGAGCTGGATTCCCCCAAATGGCTTGTTCTGCTGCCGGACAGCTCTGGGGAGGAGGGTTGGGGGCTGGTGGGTTCCACATGGAAGACCACCAGATTCCAGCCCTCACCTGCTGCCCTCGCTGTACACACTGACCTGGCCACGGCCTCCAGCTTGTCAAACAGTTCTGCCTCCACCATTGAGATCTCGTCAATGATCAGCCGCTGGCAGTTCAACCAGCCCTGCCGCACGCCTGGCCTTTGGGCCAGGGCTACACACTGAGCCAGGGGCGCCTGGCCTGAGCCGATGCCTGTAAGTGGCACTATTCAGCCTGGGCTAGGACCCAAGCCTCCTCTCCACCTGACCTCCCCTCCCTCCCTCCCCACAGGCCCAGTTTGCTTTTGCCTTGAGCCCTAGGGCCCCCCACGTACCTGCAAAGGCATGGAGGGTGGTGCCCCCGATGTGGCAGGCTGCCACCCCAGTGCTGGCTGTGGCCACCGTGCCTGTGGGTGGCAGTGAGCCCAGGATACGCTTCAACAGATAGGACTTCCCTGTCCCTGGACATGGAGCAAAATCAGGGCTGCGTGCTCCCCTCCCACCCGACCACGGTCCTCCTGGCCCCTCTGTGCTCCCACTACCTGCGCTTCCAGTGAAGAAAATGCTCTGGCCTTTGAGGACGACCCTCAGCACAGCAGCCTGTTCCTCAGAAAGCTGTGGCTTGGCAAGGGGCAAGCTCAGCTTCTTCACAGGCAGGTGCCACCTTGCAGCTTCCTAGGGAAAGACAGGGCTATCTCAGGGCTCCTTCCCCTCCCTGGGCCTTGTCCCCACCCTTCCCAGCCAATGTGTGAGGGTAGGCCTGGCAGCTCTGTGTCTGTCTGCTGGCTTAATTCCTCGAGCTCTTAGGCAGCCCTGGCTCACCTGGATATCTTGCCAGCAACGATTGGGGCCCAGGTCTCTCCTTGAGCCCTGAAGACCCCCACTGTGTAGATCCGGATCCTCCCTCAGCTCCCTGCCCCAGGCTCCCTAACACTCCTGGTCCTGTCACCCAACTCTCCTCCACAGTTCTCTTGCATCACAAGCCTGCCTTCTCATCTTGAAATACCCAAGCAAGGCCAGCTCAGCCTGTAATCCCAGCAGGTTTAGAGCCCGAGGTGGGAGGATCCCTTGAGCACAGGAGTTTGAGACCAGCCTAGGCAACATCGAGAGAACTTGACTCTACAGAATACCAAAAAATTAGCCAGGCATGGTGGCACGTGCCTGAAGTGCCAGCTACTCGGGAGGTTGAGGCAAGAAGTTCTCCTGAGCCCAGGAAGTCAAGGCTGTGGTGTGTCATGATCGCGTCACTGCACTACAGCCTGGGTGACAGAGTGAGACCCAGACTCGATGAACACATACACACATACATAAGACATAAAAGTCAAAATATCCAAGCAAAACCCTGCCTCGCCAGGCTCCTTCTTGCCCGCCTCTGTCTTCTCACCAGTTCAGAGTCAGTCTGGGGCCCACGGCCCCAGCCACAAACACCATCAAACCCACCCGACTTTGTCCTCTTCATCTGATCGGACTGTGGGCTGCCCCCTGACCCCTACACTCTCTCCTGAAGATCCCCCCTGCCCGGGCCTGTGACACTCTCCTAGTCTCCATCAGAAGTCTCCTCTCCAGGCTTCCTCTGTTTCCTCTTTTAATGTGGCCTGGGTCCTGTGTCCTCTTTTCACTGACCCAGTCTCAGGAGTTGCACTATGGCAGGCACAGGCACACTTTCCACACCCGTCACACTCAGGTGTATGATGGGCATCTCATCGGAGGTAGCCAGCAACCCCCTCAAATACCCCCAGGGCTTCCCCCTAAACTTGGCCCTCCTCAGTCAGTCTCTTCCTTTTATTTTTTTGAGTCGGAGTCTCACTGTCACCCAGGCAGGAGCGCAGTGACACGCCCATGACCCCCCGCAGGCTCGAGACCTGACGGGCTCAGGCGATTCTTCTGGCTTCGCCTTCCAATTAGCTGGAACCAGGCATGCACCACCACGCCCGGCGAATTTTTTGATTCACTGTGGAGACAAGGTCTCGCCATGTCGCCCAGAGTGGTCTCGAACCCATGGGCTCAGGCGATCCTCCCACCTCGGCCTCCCGAAGTGCTGGGATGACGGGCATGCGCCCGCACGCCCGGCTAATTTCTGATTTACTGCAGAGACGAGGGCTCTCCACGTTGCCCGGACTCTGGGCAGTCCCCTCGCTCGGGCCAGTGTCGTCCGTCGTAGGCGTGCCACACCCCCTTCCCCAGGCGTGCCCCTCGCGCGTCCTCACCACGGCGGGCCGGGCCGCAATCCGGGGCGCCGCAGGTCGCTTCACCAGCGCGGGGACCGGTGCCCAGTTGGGCAGCACGGAGGTCAAGGCAATAAATATTCTGCAAATATTCCAAAATCAAAAAAAAACCTAAAACCCAAACATTTCTGGTCCCTGGCATTTCAGATAAGGGATTCTCTATTTGTACTGTATTATTCCATTTACATGGAATGTCCAGAACTGGAAAACTCATGGAAACAAAAAGTAGATTAATGGTTGCCAAGGGATGGGGTGGGA